CGTTTTTGTTTTTAATCCAACGCGTTTATTCTTTAGTTTTGTTTTATCTTACATACGATTAATCAATTAATGAATTAAAACAAAAATTAATTAATTCATTATTTTTTTCATCGAATACGTTAATGATTTATAAATAAGTAGAGTTTATATACTTTTTCTAAAATTTTGTTCCAAATTCTTATATTTCATATATATGTGTGTGAAAATCTAAATGTATTTCTTGTGTACATAAAAATGTAAATGTTCTTTCAAAATATGACGCGAATTATTCGGTAGACAATCCGATATTTAACAATGAATTTAATTACTATTAAAATAAAAAAGTAATTATATTATTAAAGATGGAAAATGAAAGAGAGAGAGAGAGAGAGAGAGAGAGAGAGAGAGAGTGAATAAAAGAAATAAAGAAGTAAATTAGAAAACAATAAGAAGAAAAAAACAAAAAAAAAAAGATAGAACATAATTATTACAAAATTCTCGTCTACGCGTTCTTGTTTTTGTTTTTTAATCTTTTCTTTTTTATCATATTACTTATATTTAATGTTACTTTCAGTCCAAAAGTAATATACAAATGAGAAAGAGAAACAAATCGTCGCAAAACACAACATACGTACATTACTTACATACATATATACATACATACATACATACATACGTATATACATAAATGTACGTAGTCCAAGAGCTTTATCAGACATGCAACGCCGTCGAAAAAAGTTAGGGGCGTGGAATCGTAAATCGAGAATTAAATATGACGCCGAGAGGTAAGGCGTATATAAATTTTCTTTCCCGATGAATAATAAATGTTAGTAATGTGCGAGAAAGCAAGAAAGAAAACTAAAGAAAACGAGAGAGAAAGAGATAGAAAGAGAAAGAGAAAGAAAGAGAGAAAAACATAGAGAGAGAGAGAGAGAGAGAGAGAAAGAGAAAGAGAAAGAGAAAGAAAGAGAGAAAAACAGATAAAGAGAGAGAAAGAAAAAATGAGAGAAAGAGAGAGAGAGAGAGAGAGAGAGAGAGAAAGAAGGGTACAATACGGTATATAGTCACGCTCGAAAGACGTACGATGAGTGGGAGAGAGAGAGAGAGAAAGAGAGAAAGAAGTAAAACGAACGAATGAACGAACGAGTTGCCTAGTGAGAGAAAGAGAAAGAGAGAGAGAGAGAGAGACAGAGAGAGAGAGGGCAAGGAGTAAACGAAAGGACGTTAACCCTTTTCTTGTTTCTCTTCTGCCCATCCCTTCGTTTCTCCTCATCCGCAGGAGAGCTCCTTTGCACCGAAGAGTCTCTCTCTCATTCTCTTACAACTTTACTTGGTTTTTCCATATCTTTTCTCTCTCTCACTCTCTCTCTCTCTCTCTCTCTCTCTCTCTCTCTTTTATTCTTTCTCTTTCTTTCGTTAACTCTTGCTAGGTACAAGCATACTCCTTCTTCTCCTCCTTCTCCTCCTCCTCCTCCTCTCTCGTACCACTGCACGACCCTTTTACCAAAGGGGAGAACAAAAATCACGAATCTTGAATGAAGCATTCGACGAAAACGAGAAAGAGAAGTGATTCGATTGGAATTGTTATCATGTATCATCAGATTTGGTCTGTCATTGGTTTTTTTTTCCTTCTCGTTTGTTACATCGAATATATATCAAATTTTGATAATAATTATTGAATGTTGAATCATCGTAAGGATTATAAATATATGTGGTATCGAGAGAAGTGAAACGAAATCATTTGGATTAGATTAATGGTACAGTCTGTTATTTTGTTTTGTTTTTATGGGACTCGTTAGATTTGTTTTTTCTTGAAAAATTATCGATACAACGTGCTTAGAGTGAATAGAAAAAATTAGAAAATAATTATTCGATTTTATATATTTTTTATATGTGTATCTTATAATTATTATAATTATTAAAAAAGAAAGATTATTGTGGATGGTGAGGTACGAAATAAAGATGAAACTAAAGATTACTTATCAGTTAAATCAGCTAGTAACTGTAACTGTAACCGTTTCGGTTTAATAGAAGAACATAATTAAACGATTAGGAAGAACTTTAACATTGTAATAAAATATATCATTGCGGTATATTATATATGATAGATAAAATACGAAAGCTTGCAAACAAGTTTATACTCGAGTTTAACTCGTTTGATTTCCTACTATAATAAGAAATATACAAAAGAAAAATTACACTGAAATCGAATGGAAAAAGATGATCAAATGATACGTAATCTAAGATGAAATTAAAGATCATTTGCTTAGTCAGAGAAACAACTCGTTTCTAATCAATTTGATTTAATCAGGGGTATAATTAGACAATTAGAAAAAAAAAAAGAAAACGAAAAAGTTCAATCCTGTAATAACTTATTATTGTGCACGATTATAAGATCAAACCAATACGATAACTTACGACAGGTTCGTTCCCACGAGTAAATCGTTTGATTGCATTAAGAAACGAGGATTACTCGGTACCTTGATTGCGAATGAAAAAAAAAAAAGAAATGTAATTAGATATATACCCTAATCAAAACGAAATGAAAGATTACTCGTCGGTCGAATGATCAGCACGTATCTGATCAATCCAATGAACTAAACTTAAACATTATTATATTATAAACAACGTAATGTGTATTACGTTACGATTATAATAAGATCATTCGAATACGCAAAATATCTTCTAAGATATTCGTCGTTTCTTTCTGGTAAGATAATTGGGGGAAAATATATACCCAAAACCTTGACTACCAAATAAAATTATGAAATAAAGATTATTTAATGATACGCGTAATCGAAATGAATATTAGAGATTACTTGTCAGTTAAGTTTAAACTTTTTTTCTTCTTTTTCTAGAGCAACGAAAATAAGACAGCCGAGTTACGGAATGCCTGACCGGTTAGTCAGAGTGCATTTAGTCATTCCTCTTATACTGAGTACCCGGTATCGCATGCTCACCGAGAACTCACCGTTGGTAACTGTCCAGATCGCGAATTAGCTAGCGAAAAAAGCCGGCTGCGAAGAAACGGCACACGGAAATAAACGCATCAACCGATCAAAGTTTGCCCTACCTTACATTTTAGACCATGGGTTTGGGAAACCTATAAGTTCGAAGTTGCTTTCGGATTTGAAATATTTTCTTTAAAATCACAATTTACTGCATTCGTTACACGACCACGATAGTTAAAACCTCTCCCTTATCCTACCCTCTAAAGAAATATTTATAATGCATTGGTATCATAAAAAATTATATATGTATGGAAAACACCGTTAAGCAGTTTAATTTTCGCAACACCATTCACCGTTATCAACAGATTGCAATATTATTTCTCACGATAAATACAAATTTACAACAACGATCAGAAAAATATCGAAATTACAAAGTTTCGTACTGTGATACGAATTGAAAGAAATTTTTATTGCACTTCTAATTCGCGTTATTTTTTTAGAAAATTGCATTAGCTCGTTACCTTAAGTTGAAGATAATCAAATTGAAGAAATTCGAGACAAATTGGATTCGATTGTCGTGCAATGTACGAAAATAATATAATATAATCGGTTGATTATTCATACTCTCAAAGTCACGAACTGCAAGTACAGCGTACACATATGCATGTGCGCGCGCTCGTGCAAGCATAATCGAAAACACGCGAGAAGGATACACCGAGATGCACGAGATGCGTTAACGCATCGTTGCGTTCGTCTCCCTTTTTTTCGTTCGACGACCCCTCTTTCCACTTTTGCCGCCCTTTTTTCGTGACTTTTCCAAAGCACACGTGGTGAGTGCATTTTTTCTATTATTACAATATACTGTTGGCGTTTGATCGAGTTATACCATTAAGAATTAGGATTTTCAAACTATAATTTAAATTGGAAATAATATCTATCGGGTGGTTCGAAAAGTTCGCGCTCTGATATATAAAAAATATATATATTATTAAATGTATCATAAAAGAAATAGAAAAAGGGTTGTTTTTGAATTTTATTTTAAAACTGACACATACCATATTCGAACAATATTATAGAGAAAATAAT